TCTATGGGCCACGAACCTTTGCTTTGTTTATAACCTTCACTATTCACTGTGGTACAGGGTATTTTATATATAAACACGATTTCTAAAGACCTTCATGGAATTTAAAGCTCTCTAAAGAATTCCAACATTTCAAAATACACCTTAGAAAGAATGCCTTCACAAATATACTATAAACAGATCTAACACAGTTTTCGGTGTTATAAAATTCCAAGAAAAATATCTGTAATTTTGCATTTAATTTCTTAGGAGAAATCAAAAGTTTGGGTAGACACCCTGTTGTTGGCATTTTAGAGGCTATAATTCCGATTTTCAAGAAATAAAGAACCTCTTGGCAAAAAAATCCTTTAATATTGTTCAATATTTTGGCCAAGGCCCTCAGCCGAATTTTCCTAGCTAAGAAGCTATATTTTGGTATTTCGATTTGTAAGAGGTTTAAACACGTTCTTGCAGAATTGTAAAGTGAAAAATCTGATTTTAGGTATTTTGAATGTTCCTCTGATGGTTCTATAAAGATTTTATAATATATCCCAAGCCAAAAATTCTATTTGGTCTTATATTAATAACGTTTTTCTAATCTACTCTTCCCTACCTCTCCCATAACTTGTTGATCCTTATTTGGCTAACTGGAAATTCTTCAGTCATCGTGTCATTCAATGACAGTACATATGTTTGAGTTTGTTCAATACTCTTGAGGTTATAACACGCATTCTACGGAAAAAAGGATGTGCATAACACTTGGGCGTATGTATGCATGTGTGATGGTACTGTTGCTGGTGTGTAGTTGTAAACAAACACTTGAGCAATTAGAAAAATGCCATAAGAAGACAAACATAAATACAAAGTCGTTGAAATGTTAGCACTAAATTCAATATGATGGCACACGGTTTGAGTGTCTTGTGTCAGCATATTTGTGTGTGTGTGTTGGAATTCAAATCTTTCCGCTGGTAGGTTGTTGGACTTGGTAGTTTTTGGTGGGGTATTAAATAAGGAGTTAGAAACTTTATGGAAACAGAATTATAAGATTTAATTTATAGGAAATTTTAAATATATACTATAGATATCCATTAAGGAAAGGACAGAATGAAGCCGATTATAGATTCTCTTGTGATTATTATTGTAACCTACAGTAATATATGTTGCCCCTTTTGGGCGACCAATTACAGCGCCGGAATTTATATTTTCGTAGTTCCTCACGATAAAAATATTTTAAATATAAATATTCCCATGAAACACCCTTTAAACATTTAATATATTTACCATATGACTACCACTGTTAAATATGAGTGAGGAAAAAAATCATTAAATAATTTTCAAAAACATAAGTTTCCACTTTATGCCAATTTCAATTATGTCACAAACTCACCGAGACAGACAGACAAAATGACAACTACAAATATACTTTACACGTGCCACATACACGCGCACATACACATACGCAAATATCCTCAAAGTCTACAAACACTTGAAATTGAAATTGAAGGATACGACGCCATACATCTACACCTAAAGCCCCCCCGGATCTGAGCTGAGTAAAATAATTTAGTGCGTAATTTCACTACTATTTGCATTCTTAACCAAATGAGAGCCAAGTTTAAGAAGTTGTGAAATATGCATCGATGTGTGAGTTTGTGCATATGGAATGAAGACACCACAAGTTTAGGGAAAGGATGAAGTGTTTGTGATAAGCTTTTGCAGATGTTTCTGGCAAATTGGTGGACAGTAAAATTAGCCATTAACTTTTTGGTTGATTTAGCGAAATTGCTGTCATAAATCTGGAAGAAACTTTAATTAGAAAGGAGAAGTTTTGAATATTTGGGTTAGTTGCATGGAAGTGCAATGTGAATATAAAATGGATTGTGGTACTGATATTTCATTGGCATAAAGAGAAACTCTTTATTTTGAACAAATCCTTCAAAATCGGTAGAAACAAAAAAAGAGAGAGGCCATTGGTCTGCAGAGAGGCAACAGGCGTCATATAAAACACTGGGACTACAGGCTGTTATAAAGACCAATAGATATGTAATTAGACCGATTGGAAGTGTACAGTGATATAGGTCTGATGGGAGACCATACGCCATATCTACAAGACCAGTAAGTGAGTATAGAGAGAACTGGTTTTTATAAATACCACTTTTTTCTTTATAAAGACCTATACTACCCAATTGGCATTTATAAATCCCAGACCTTATTGGTCCACCGAAAAAAATCTCTTTACCCCTAAATACCACTTCAAATATTTCATTACCTTAACTGAAGGTAACTGAATATGAAATTTCCTTGTTTGGCTTTTTTTTTTGCTTCTCCATAATATCCAGTAACCATCCGCTTAATAGTAGCACCCAACAAAAGTGTGTCATAACAAAAAACATGAAACGCCTGTTAAGCAAATGTATCTTTTGTAGTGGTTGCCAAAATCTAAATCCACACTTACAAAAAAAAACTATTAAGGAAAGTAGTATAGTCGGACTGGGCCGACTATATGATACCCTTCACCACTTTGGGTATATTCGAAGGAACATTGACATGAAATTGAAGGAAGGAACATTGACATGATTTTTATCTAAAGTAAACCGACTAATATCAATCCCAACACATGCCATTCTGCAACTTATCCTAATTTTGTAAATAGACTTGCCAGAGATTAATTTATATTAATTTCAGTATGTTGTGTCAATCGGCCTAGCTTTCGGTCTTAAGTGGATCATTTACTTTACGTAAATCTGAACCGATTTCAAGAAAACTTGATACACGAAAGGTTATACTAACTTCAGTATATTGTACATTGTGCGGCAGACGGCCAAACTTTTAGTCTTTAGTGCACAATTTACATTAAATCGGGCGAAAATATATTAATGGATGGAGTCAAAGTGTTCAAAAGAGATTTTCACGAAATTTAACACACATCATTATAGACTCAATTCAGTAAATCTGAACCAATTTTCGCGAAACTTCGCACACATGATTCTAGGCTCAATTCAGTCCGCTATACCAAATTTAATGCAAATCGAATGATATATAAGGACATTGGTGCACCATTTACATAAAATCGGACGAATATATATATGGAAGCTGTATCTAAATCTTAACCGATTTTCTCCAATTTCAATAGGGTTCATCCTTGGGCCAATCAAGTGATCTGTGCAAATTTCATCCAAATCGGATCATAAATGCGACGTGTACTTTGTTAACAAAAATACATGGACGAACGGACATGCATAAATCCACTCAGAAAGTGATTCTATGCATATTCTCAAAAGGAACCATGGATCTATCTCGATTATTTTTGCCTGTTACAAACATATGTACAAAGACATAATACCCTGTACCACAGTGTGGTGAAGGGTATAAAGAAGCTATAACTAAACGATGCAAGGCATAACACGGAAAAAACTGTTTTGGCTTTCTTTTGTTAATCTGCTTCTTTATCTTCTGTGACTGTGTGTGTGTGTGTGTGTGGGATTTAGCATTGGAAGAGGCTTTTGTTATCTCTCAAAAGGATAGTGTACGGTTTTTGGGATTTTCATACTTTTCTATTAAAAATATGCACATTTTACGGCGATTTTACTCTGTTTTTATCTACCACTCTCACACACACACATACACAAACGAAAAATCAGTCTATGCAAAACGGAAGTAAATATGAAAATTCGAATACAAAACTTCCCCACAGAAAAGTTTTGTATTCGACGCCTCCTATTAGGCTAGAAAAAATATGTATTTTTTTTAAATACACGCCACAAAACTTCTTCGACGCCTCCTATTAGGCTAGAAGAAATATTTTTTTAAATTTAAACGTATTCGACGCCACAAAACTTTTTTTTTAAATAGACGCCACAAAACTTTTTCGACGCCTCTTATTAGGCTAGAAGAAATATTTTTTTAAATCCACGCCTCCTACTAGGTTTTAAAAAAATATTTTTAAGAGTCCACGCCCCTTAAACGTTTAGAAAACTATATTTTTTAAAACTCCACGCTTCTTAAACGGTTAAGAAATATTCTTTTAAAAATCCACACCTTCTGCTGTTCATTTAAAGACATTTTATCAATATTGTATGTATATCCGGAAAATTCAAATGAATATTTCAGACCCCCCAACACCCTATATTGCACTGAGTATGCCATTCACTTCAAAATGTAGCATATTGTTCTCTCCCCCTCTCTTCCAAATAAAGAAATTATGTCATAGATATGGAAAATATAAAAAAACAAATAGCAACAGCTCTACAAAGTACAACAAAGAAAAACAGCATTTATAGATTGGCCACAGCAACTGCCACAAATACAAACACATTTCGCAAACAAACACCCACGCTAAGTACTAACATCCTGTGGTAACTCAAACGCACACACACACTCATTCATATTATGGCAACAATATGACTAAACTGGCAATAGCAACTAGAGATAATTTTTGGCCAAGTCGCCGTGGCCCAACTTTTGAGGGTTTATGTGTTCAAAGTTTCATTTGTGTTAGTTGTGAATCTCTATATGGAGGCGAAATCTCGTAATGTTATGGCAAGGAACCAACCATCAACACCATTGGCTCTCCCTTCGGTTAATGCTTCAATTTCAAAACACACATACACACACAGAATAACAACATAGTCATTCGCTCGCCAATATTGCTAACCGAAAAAAAAACTAGAAAGAACAACAAAAAATTATTGAAATTTTCTTGGCCAAAAAATTACAACCAACTGGCATAACAGCAACATGACCAGCAACAATGCCATAAATATGCATTAACGAATGTGAGGGGCAAGGGGCGTAGGTGTTAGTTTCTGTTTCCCTTCACCATCTTCAAACCATCTAGGACATCCAGTAGGCTCATTCAACCCAACAACAAAAAAAGTTGTTGCTCTCTTTATTTGTTGTCCATAGATTGGCTGGCTTTATGCCCATTAAAATGTTATGCTAATAACCACCCAAATCTCCCCTGGTATACAAAACCATATAACTAATATATGTATTGTGTGTTTGTGTTTTTTTATCTTTTACAGTACAACTACTTAATGGAGTTTGATTATCTACCAAAGTCAGACTTCGAAACGGGAGCTTTAAGGACTGAAGAACAATTTAAGGATGCAATCAAACATTTACAGGTAAGAATGTTCGGGTTGTTTTAGATAAGCAAATCAACAGAATTTTGTTATTGTTTTTTCTCCGATGTTTTGTTTACAGCGTTTTGGCAACATACCAGTTACCGGCGAACTCGATAGCGAAACCAGAAAGCTTATCAAACGACCACGTTGTGGTGTCGGCGATAGCAAACAGACATTAGCATTTTCACCGGATAACTTACATCATGGACGCATGAAGCGTTATGTGCTGCAGGGTCCCAAATGGGATAAAACTGATTTAACATGGAGGTAAGTCCAACACAACAACAACAAAACCACTCGCCCTTTATATTTCCTAAAAATCCACGCCCTTTATATTTCTTAAAAACCCACGCCGTTTATATTTCTTAAAAATCCACGCCCTTTATATTTCTAGAAAATCTACGTCGTTTATATTTCTTAAAAATCCACGCCCTTTATATTCCTTAAAAATCCACGCCCTTTATATCTCTTAAAAATCCACGCCCTTTATATTTCGTAAAAATCCACGCCCTTTATATTTCTTAAAAATCCACGCCGTTTATATTTTTTAAAAATCTAAGTCGTTTATATTTCTTAAAAATCCACGCACTTTATATTTCTTAAAAATCCACGCCCTTTATATTTTTTTAAAAATCTAAGTCGTTTATATTTCCTAAAAATCCACGCCCTTTATATTTCTTAAAATCCACACCGTTTATATTTCTTAAAAATCCACGCCCTTTATATTTCTAGAAAATCTACGCCGTTTATATTTCTTAAAAATCCACGCCCTTTATATTCCCTAAAAATCCACGCCCTTTATATCTCTTAAAAATCCACGCCCTTTATATTTCGTAAAAATCCACGCCCTTTATATTTCTTAAAAATCCACGCCGTTTATATTTTTTAAAAATCTAAGTCGTTTATATTTCTTAAAAATCCACGCCCTTTATATTTTTTTAAAAATCTAAGTCGTTTATATTTCTTAAACATCCACGCCCTTTATATTTCTTCAAAATCCACGCCCTTTATATTTCTTAAAAATCCACGCCTTTATATTTCTTAAAAATCCACGCCCTTTTTATTTCTTAAAAATCTACGTCGTTTATATTTCTTAAAAATCCACGCCGTTTATATTTCTTAAAAATCCACGCCCTTTATATTTCTTCAAAATCCACGCCCTTTATATTTTTTAAAAATCCACGCCCTTTATATTTCTTCAAAATCCACGACCTTTATATTTCTTAAAAATACACGCCCTTTATATTTCTTCAAAATCCACGACCTTTATATTTCTTAAAAATCCACGCCCTTTATATTTCTTCAAAATCCACGACCTTTATATTTCCTAAAAACCCACGCCCTTTTAATTTCTTAAAAATCCACGCCCTTTATATTTCTTAAAAATCTACGCCATTTATATTTCTTAACAAGTGAAAAAGCGGTAAGTTCGGCCGGACCGAACTTTGGATACCCTCCACCATAGATATATTGACAGATACTAGAAATGAAAATATAGGGAACATACCAAAAGGTGGACCTATACCGACATTTCTAAAAACGGATTACGTAAACCATAATACAAATTTTAGAAATTTCTAAAGGATAATTATACTCTTAGCCTCATGGCTAATGAGGGTGTATACACTTTAACACGGTGAAAATGTGCCTCATCGAAATATTGGTTCTAGACCCCATGTTTCTTTGGACCAAATCCGTTTCAGAAAATTTTAATTTCATCCGAACTTTGCCCATCTTATTATTTCTTCCAAGCTTAGTTCAAATTCTGGAACTTCCAATCAGAGGCTAGGTCTAAATGCGGCTATAGTTCATTATCGAACCTTACGTTCAAATATTTTATCTCTCTATCCTCCGCAGGTGAAATGATTACAAAAGGGTCTTAGAACCAAACTAAAAACGCGGAACAAATCAGACAACTATTTCAATATAAAAAGGGGTTATATGGGGACTACCCCAAAAAGGGGGCGAATATTAATAATTTTTGGTAGGGAGGTTTGTATCCGAAAAAATGGACCTATATTCATAATGTTTTGTGGGGAGATTTGGAATCTATTAAGAACCCAATGTACCAAATTTCAGCGTATTCGGTTGAAAAACGCGCTCAAGAACCCTAAAATACCGAAAATTGGGGGGTACCCATATATGGGGGATATCCGAAAAATTTCACCTATATTTATAATTTTTTGTGGAGAGATTTGGTACCTATTAAGAACTCGAAATACAAAATTACAGCCAATTCGGTGGAAAAATAGGTAAAAACCCCCAAAATACTGGAAATTAGGAGGTACCGTTATATGGGGGCTACCAGAAAAAGTGGACCTGAATTTATAATTTTTTTGTAGGGACATTTAGTACCCAATAAGAACCCAATGTACCAAATTTCAGCGTATTCGGTTGAAAAACGCGCCCAAGAACCCCAAAATACCGAAAATTGGGGGGTACTGTTATATGGGAGCTATGCCTAAACGTGGATCGATATATCCCATCTTCGAACTTGACCTGCCTGCAGACAAAAGACAACCCTATGCAACATTTCAGCACCCTATCTCAATTCCTTCAGAAGATAGCGTGATTACAACAGACGGACGGACGGACATGGCTAGATCGTCTTAGAATTTTACCCTGATCAAGAATAAATATACTTTATAGGGTCGGAAATGAATATTTCGATGAGTTACAAACGGAATGACAAAATTAATATATCCTCCATACTATGGTGGAGGGTATAAAAATCTACGCCATTTATATTTCTTAAAATTCCACGACTTTTATATTTCTTAAAAATCCACGCCCTTTATATTTCTTAATAATCCACGCCCTTTGTATTTTTTAAAAATCCACGCTCTTTATATTTCTTAAAAATTCACGCCCTTTATATCTTTTAAAAATCTACGTCGTTTATATTTTTACGAATATTTTTTAAGAAATATAAAGGGCGTGGATTTTTAAGAAATATAAACGACGTAGATTTTTAAGAAATATAAAGGGCGTGGGTATTTAAGAAAAATATGGGGCGTGGATTTTTAAGAAATACAAACGACGTAGATTTTTAAGAAATATAAAGGGAGTGGATTTTTAAGAAATGTAAACGGCGTAGATTTTTAAGAAATATAAACGGCGTGGATTTTTATGAAATATAAAGGGCGTGGATTTTTAAGAAATATAAACGATAGATTTTTAAGAAATATAAAGGGCGTGGATTTTTAAGAGTTATAAACGGCGTGGATTTTTAAGAAATATAAACGACGTCGATTTTTAAGAAATATAAAGGGCGTGGGTATTTAAGAAAAATATGGGGAGTGGATTTTTAAGAAATGTAAACGGCGTGGATTTTTAAGAAATATAAAGGCGTGGATTTTTAAGAATAAAGGGCGTGGATTTTTAAGAAATATAAACGGCGAGGATTATTATGAAATATAAAGGGCGTGGATTTTTAAGAAATATAAAGGGCGTGGATTTTTAAGAAATATAAAGGGCGTGGGTTTTTAAGAAATATAAACGGCGAGGATTATTATGAAATATAAAGGGCGTGGATTTTTAAGAAATATAAACGACGTAGATTTTTATACCCTCCACCGTAGTATGGAGGGTATATTAATTTTGTCATTCCGTTTGTAACTCATCGAAATATTCATTTCCGACCCTATAAAGTATATTTATTCTTGATCAGGGTAAAATTCTAAGACGATCTAGCCATGTCCGTCCGTCCGTCTGTTGTAATCACGCTATCTTCTGAAGGAATTGAGATAGGGTGCTGAAATTTTGCATAGGGTTGTCTTTTGTCTGCAGGCAGGTCAAGTTCGAAGATGGGATATATCGATCCACGTTTAGGCATAGCTCCCATTTAACAGTACCCCCAATTTTCGGTATTTTGGGGTTCTTGGGCGCGTTTTTCAACCGAATACGCTGAAATTTGGTACGTTGGGTTCTTATTGGGTACTAAATGTCCCTACAAAAAAATTATAAATTCAGGTCCACTTTTTCTGGTAGCCCCCATATAACGGTACCTCCTAATTTGCAGTATTTTGGGGGTTTTGACCTATTTTTCCACCGAATTGGCTGTAATTTAGTATTTCGAGTTCTTAATAGGTACCAAATCTCTCCACAAAAAATTATAAATATAGGTGAATTTTTTCGGATATCCCCCATATATGGGTACCCCCCAATTTTCGGTATTTTAGGGTTCTTGAGCGCGTTTTTCAACCGAATACGCTGAAATTTGGTACATTGGGTTCTTAATAGATTCCAAATCTCCCCACAAAATATTATGAATATAGGTCAATTTTTTCGGATAGCCCCCATATAAGGGTACCCCCAATTTTCGGTATTTTGGGGTTCTTGAGCGCGTTTTTCAACCGAATTTGCTGCAATTTGGTATTTTGTAGTCGTATATGGTAACAAACCTCCCTACCAAAAATTATTAATATTCGCCCCCTTTTTGGGGTAGTCCCCATATAACCCCTTTTTTATATTGAAATAGTTGTCTGATTTGTTCAGCGTTTTTAGTTTGGTTCTAAGACCCTTTTGTAATCATTTCACCTGCGGAGGATAGAGAGATAAAATATTAGAACGTAAGGTTCGATAATGAACTATAGCCGCATTTAGACATAGCCTCTGATTGGAAGTTCCAGAATTTGAACTAAGCTTGGAAGAAATAATAAGATGGGCAAAGTTCGGATGAAATTAAAATTTTCTGAAACGGATTTGGTCCAAAGAAACATGGGGTCTAGAACCAATATTTCGATGAGGCACATTTTCACCGTGTTAAAGTGTATACACCCTCATTAGCCATAAGGCTAAGAGTATAATTATCCTTTAATAATTTCTAAAATTTGTATTATGGTTTACATAATCCGTTTTTAGAAATGTCGGTATAGGTCCACCTTTTGGTATGTTCCCTATATTTTCATTTCTAGTATCTGTCAATATATATATGGTGGAGGGTATCCAAAGTTCGGTCCGGCCGAACTTACCGCTGTTTCACTTGTTAAGAAATATAAATGGCGTGGATTTTTAAGAAATATAAAGGGCGTGTATTTTGAGGAAATATAAAGGGCGTGGATTTTTAGAAAATATAAAGGGCGTGGATTTTTAAGAAATATAAAGGGCGTGTATTTTTAGGAAATATAAAGGGCGTGGATTTTTAAGAAATATAAAGGGCGTGGATTTTTAAGAAATATAAACGACGTAGATTTTTAAGAAATATAAAGGGCGTGGATATTTAAGAAATATAAAGGGCGTGGATTTTTAAGAAATATAAAGGGCGT